GGATCTTATCAACCAAGAGAAGATGGCCTTCGTGACTAAGGTCGGCCTTTATGCTCTTCCTCGAGCAAAAGAGTTCGCTCTTGTGCCTCGATAATCAAGATGGTGAAGTCTTGCGTAATGCTACATTCAACCCTTAGACTCTTCAAACTTGGGGAGCAAACTAAACCAATGCCTACTAACCGATTAAACTAGTCATTCCAGGCCAAGGACCCACAATGAGCTACTCCCTTCGCTGAACCGACCTTGTTTCGGGATTGAGGGGCAATTGATGAAGGGAGATTTGGTCCTCCAATGACATTGTGACACGTGGCATGACAAGAACGCCACATGACACCTTAGTGCCACACAAACAGCTGCAGATCTCACTAAGTCAAGGAGGTGCACCCCGGAACTAGTTCGAACACTTCGTACACAGCTGAAGCACCTAGGGAAAGCGCCTAGTGGCACCTCATCCAAGGCCGACCTATGGTACCTCGTCAGTACTAGTCCAAGGGACCTAGGTGTGAGGAGCGACCTCCCCCGAAGGATGACCTAACTGGGGTCTAGGTGGCGACCTACGAGACGTGCTCGCCGATCTCCTCTACGTGCATCTTATCACTCCCAAGTCCTCCGAAAGTCAGCACCTACACCGATCATTCAAGAGGCAACCGGATAAGGCACAGAAGCCTAGCCCGCATGTGAAACTACCTCTGAGGAATTCCGACCGGTAAGTCATGTCCTCCTGAGGATCTCGGACGCAATGCGTGAAACTCATGCCAACCGACGCCAATATAAAGGCGCCCCCATTTTCTAAGAAATGTATACACAATTTAGCACTCAAGCTCTCTAGCTTTCTAGCTTTCTGAAAACTCCAATTCACTAACTTAAGCATCAGAGTGCCCATACTGGGTAAAGTAGCTCGGTTACTCTAACCTTTTCTCTCTTTCTTTATACCTCGACCAAGCGACCTACCTAGTTCGACATCCAAGTTGTCAACCACTAGAGAACATCAAATCGCGCACCATCAGATAGTATTAGAAACTAATGAATGAACTGAAGGTTTTTATTTTTTTATTTATTTATTTGTTTTAATAGATGAGAAGTGTACTTGATGGATAATATTAAGGCCAAAGTGTGATAAGATGAAAATAGAATTCGGGTTCAATTTATCCTAATCATGAGGCTTTGTTTGTTTGCAATGCAATTTCATTTGCACTAGTACAAATGCATAGAAGTATAAATGAGAAATTGAACATTTTGGTTTATTTTAAATTGGGGTTGTAGTTTATTTTGCTTCACAGTCCAGTCCAGTCCAGTCTGATTTGGAGAAAATCTTATACCAAACCAGAAAATAATGGTTTGAGAAATTCTCAGAAGAGATCAAACCATTTTAGTGTAAAAACTAGATCAGACCACTGTCTTATTACCATCTAGTCTGATTTCTAACACAGTCTAGTCTATTCTATTGGACTTAACCCAATTAAAAGGCCCAAACAACATACATACCTGCATAAATAACAAATATAATTCGATTTAACAAGTGCTATCTAATTTTAATTATTAGGCATTTAATGGTTAATCAGGTTTGAAATCATATTATATTTATTTAATCTTATAATGTAAAGAGTTATGTGATATGTTCAAATCTTATATACAACATAAGTATTTATTTAATAATATAATATAATATTACATATAATAATTCAGTTTACGGTCTGATTTGAATTTTGAATTCAAAAAATCAGACTGAAACTGTCAAATGAAATTTTTAAAATTTCCGAGATCAGATTAGACTGTTTTTAACACCAGACCAGATCAAACTGCCAGCTTCAGTTTGATTTGGTTCAATTTGGCGGTCTGGACCATATTATGAACACCTCTATCCTTAACTAGGTTTTCTAGGGACCCATTACCAATGTGCAACGATATTAAGCATCCAATTGTTACTCCAATTACTCAATTGTAACCATCCAAGGTTATGTAATGATCTGAGCTATTTCTGGTAAAGGAAAAAATGCAGCTCGGCTCATTTCTTACAAAACCACTAATGACCTTATTTACGTCTATTCTTTTTAAGTCTCTATCTGTTCTTAGCGAAGCATTGGCTCTATTTGGATGGTGAATTTACCTGCATGCATGCAGTTTAAACGTTAACCAAAATAAAATCATTTCATTCTAAGTTGGATCCTAACATTTTGCTTGTTTTCCTTCTTTTCGCCATAAAAAGATCTCCTGGGTCGGAAATTTTAAGTAGTGTATCATGCTCCACTATGTTCTGTACAGGGGACATAAAATCATGGTTAAGGACTCGTCTGTCTGCAGTGCAAATTCAATAGAACTAGTACATATGCATGGGGGTGCAAATTCCAGGTTAATTTTGCTTTTTGCCTCAGACCAAGCAAAATAAGATAAAATCTAATAGAAAAATAAACCAGAATTTGCACTCTTAACTCATTTGCATTCCCACACTTGGGAACCAGTGCTAATGAAATTGCATATCTAACAACCAGGTCTAAAGTGCAATATGAATAAAATTAACCAACTGAATAGAAGCTTGAATGGCCAATGGCCATGTAGATGTAGTCTAGGTGATCAGTTGGCACCACACCCCAAGGTTCAAAGTATCAATATTGAGTGTCTATTTTAAGGTATTTCTAAAAACTCTTTTTTAATAACTAAACAACATAAAAATGGCCCCTGTGAAATTTTGGAAGAAAAAACCAAAAGAACAGAAAAACAATTTTAAAGTACCAAAACACCCCTTCCGGCATAGCAGGGTGTATTGATATTTTGAACCTTACCCCACCCATGAGGTGCCACGGGCTCAAATCTGCAATGCATCCCTGCTATCTTAACCCCATAACCCACTAATTACGAAGATGTTTAATTGGAGGAATCAATTTGCAAATCCAATTTTTTAGGGCAGCTGATTACCCAAATTGTGTCAAAAAACCGATTTGGTAAGACTGATTCCTCACAAATCAGCAAATGATGAAACAGTTTAAGTCCTGATAACATGACACGGCAGTGAGATCCTTAACTGATAACATGCAAACCAATAATGTTGTGACACAAAGAAGGCGGAAACAATGGATTTGATGGTCAAAACAATAAAAGAATGTATCATAAGTTAACACACATTAGGCCTGTTTTTTCACCAACACCAAAGGAAATAGAATGTTACTACTTAATACTGTTTGAAGTGATCAAGCTTAAAATAACCGTGCAAAACATGAGAACTGTAAAACAAATTGCATTCCAGCAATTTTTTGCCCACACATTCGTATTAAATCAGATATAGAGAAAAGGTGTGAAAATAGTAAATGGTACAAGGGTTAACGAAGCTGGAAAAGAATCTAATTTGTGATACATTGAATATGCCTTGGATTGGTCTTCAGAATCAGATTCAAGTTTCACGACTGAAATTGGCATCGGTCTTTTTTCCTGACGATCTATTGGATGCCTCAGGCAATAGAATTGTTAAACCTACAAATAGCAAAGATTTCTTCCACTGACTCGTTTGTTTGCATTTAATGGACCATGGACGTTTTTTCATTTTTTTCTTTTTTTTTTGATAAGCCACTGAATGGACGTCTGAGGTCTGAAAAAATGGCTTAAGACATCCCAGACTGTTCGGTGCAGCAGTTCAGACTTCCATCTATCTATCAACCCACACAGATATGTTTTATGTTTTTTTCTTGAACTGTAATGTAAAGTATTTCATTAATCAAAAAACCAACAAAGAACCCCTGCACAAAGAGAAACTGAACAGACGATATACAATCTGCTCCCTACAGCCCAAAACCCAAAAAACAACCAACTTTTCCTTACAAAATGAAAATCTGAATAAAAGAAAGAACTAGGATGTCTATTTATAAACAAAGGGTGAACTGCCAACCAAGAACGAGCCATCCCCAGAATTTTACGTAGGATTTCTTCCATTGAAGCCTGAATCCCTTTAAACAGTATCCTGTTTCTTTCACTCCATACAGCCCATAACACTGCTGAAGGAAGTATGCTCCATTCTACCTTTCCAGCTCTACTTAAACCTTCTAGATGCCATGCATCAATGAGACCCTTCACTTTAGCTGGGAAGCACCATTTTACATCAAACACACCTACTATCCTTAACCAGATCCAATGAGTAAATTCTCATTGAATCAGTAAGTGACCAGAAGACTCCACATTACCATTGCATAGAGGCAATCCAAATCTGCCACCTGTAGCCCTCTTCTGACTAGATTTTGCTTTGTTAGGATCTTGTCCAGCACTAATGACCAGACAAAGAAGGCCAGTTTAGAGGTACAGCTTTAGTCCAAATCCTGTCACTTGGAAATGGTGTGGTCTCCTCCCTTGCTACAGATTGTTTTATGTTTTGTTCTAAAAGCAACCCTAAAAAAATTTAATATGACAGAAAAAGTGAAAAAACCATGTAATGTATTCTCCCAGCATCTTCCTTGCCACACACCCACAAGAGCCACACTAGATTTTTTTGCTTTTCAGAGATCAGTTCAGCTTTATCAAACACCACCAGTATCTTCTACTTCATCCAGATCCCTGTTTCTATTGGATATCTCTTTACTTTGTACAAATCCTTGTTGCTACTGCAATAAGCATTCTAACTTTATTTTACAATCAGATAAAACTGCAAGTGGCCTTTGGCATCTGAGCCAAGGGCTATTGGCCTTGCAAAATCTGCTCAAAAAGAAGACCGCTAAAGTGGGGAGGAAAAGATAGTTCAGCCATCTAATGAGTTTCTATCCCCTCAAAAAGATACAATCTAGTTGAGGCTAAAATTCTCCCGGAACAGCAAGATATTAAATGAAGCAACTTCACAGAGAATAAGTCAGTTCTGAGTCATACAAGAACAATAAACCTATGTGAGAACCTGTGCAAAAGGGGACGAAGAATCCATTAGCCGTTCCTGCAGCAGCTAAGAAGCACCTGGTAATTTCATAAGAAGCTTCACTTCTCCAACTTAGACATGTAACAAGAGATGAGCATCTTTTTTTAAAAGCTTCTCAAAACAAAGAAAGCCACTGCTTTCAATAGAACTTGCAAATTAGTTTTGTTCAAGATTGAATCCATGTAAACAGCATAGCCCAGAAGAGTTAAGAGTCCATTTACCAATTCCTAAGATTTCCTAAACAAGAAAATACAGTATTGAGTTTTGAAAATTGTTACATTCATTTTACATACTGTCCTGCTACTAATGACTGTTTAATAAAAAATTAAGAACGGATATTACTTTCTCAGATAGCCAATGTTGAAATAAACTTGGAGCGTGAACTTGATCAACTCACCTTAGTAGTCAACCTCGGGATAATAAATCACCTAAGAAATTTGTTCGTGAAACTAGTACAGACTAGAGTGGAGCTGTGGTTAGATGTCAGAACCAACCCCTTTCCCTGAACAGAAACCATACTCCACAGATAAACCAGCACCTGATAATTCAACACTATGATAGAATTGATGTGGTACCAATCACTTGTGCCTGAAAACAATGATGATTGCAGTGCAATTGTCCTTGCACCGCCGCTCACGGATGGCTTCTCTAACAAGACGACGGCTCACAGTGGTGACAGGTAACCCCTCCTGCCAAACCATTACAACAATTAGGAAGAGCACCTTCAAAGTCTTCATGTAGTTATTAAGTAGAAAGGTTCGACTATGGTATTGGAAAGATATGATACATGAAAATTTTGTGACCAACTGACAGGTATCATAAATAGATTAACCAATCAGGTGGTATTTATCAAAATTCACGGGTGGACTTTGATTGGTCAAAGCTCCTGGTACCATGTCTTTCCGGTATCATAGATTTTCCCTCAGTAGAAACAACTAAAAGACTTGCAGCTTAAAAACATTACACTATATGTTCTACAAAAAGCTTAGGCTTTATTATGTCAGTTTAGAGGATTAGTCTGTTTTTGGCCCTTCTTAAGCATTCAATGTATTTTTTTTTTATCAGCTTTAGCATTCAATATTCTGTATGAAGCTAAACTGCAAAACTAGTCTCAATTTCATGCAGTAAAAAACTTGTGTGATTTACAACTAGTACATTTATGTTCCTCATGCATCACCATGTAGGAAAAGCATAGGCTCTATTTCAGCACAAGCATATGTTGGCAAATGTGTCAGGAATCTGATTTCCCAATTCCAAAGATGTACCTACCAGAAAGCTTACAGGATAGCACAGACAATCGTTGTATCATGTTATCTACTGTTGGACAAAATACTATCAACACAGTGCTAGTACTATAAAATAGATGAAATATTAATGTTTATCTTAGTAAAAACAAAGTATTCATTATTAGAGAAAAGCATAGTTTGTTCTTGTGAAGTACCACATCAACAGCAAGAAACGTCTCATAGGATTTCCATAAGTACTCCCAAGACATCAGCAAGGATAAGTTTTTATGAATACCTAAATTCAGGATCTTGAAATCAAACTTTAGTGTAAAAATAAGGTTGAGATCCATTTTAAGACTTCACAAGAAATTCTAGACAGCTTCCTATGGGCCCAAACCACATCACATCAAGTCCTTGAACAAATACAAATCCCACCTGTACACAGAATAAATACCAAAACCTAGTTGCCTTTTTCTTTTTCTTTTTTTTGTAAAACTTTAACATGTAGCGATATTCACTGGGCCGAGAGCACCCCCTCGAGTAAAGGCTTCCACAGCCGGTTGACCAAAATGAGGATCCCAAATTGCATGAGCAATAGGTCTTACATGTAAGGGGTCCTGTACCCATGACTCAAAATTTCCTTGCCAAACTACATGAAAAAGATTTCCGTGCCAAATCCAGCAGAAATGAACTCCCAAAGTTCTACTTGAGTACTCCCTTAGGCTTCTTCTAAGTTGCCGGAGTCAGGAACCTTTAAGGTCTGCTCTGTTTTCACCTCAACAACATTAAACACTATAGTAATTTCGCCAAACTCCAGATCAAAACCTAAATTGTTACAATCTTAATATCATAGCCAACCTCCTAAGCAAGATTAAAGAGCAAAGACATGTGTTGTCTTCCACCATATGACTTCATTTCCTAAATGACCAAGACATACTCCAATACCAACATTTTGAACATAGAAATCCAAGTTGTTAAACTATATTAATATCATTACATATTTAGCAGTATGTCACAGTACACTAAACTTATTTCAGCTGACCTTTTCAAAAAGGAAAAAGAAGGAAAAAACAATCAAATAATGGAATAAAACAAAAAAAGAAAAAAAAATGTTATTGGGCAAAATCCAACACTTGAGAAGCAAAAGAAGAAATAGAGAACAAATTCATCGGTATATGACATAACTATTAGTTTAGGAACAGTGGTGGAAATATTATTGCTCTAAAATGTATTATATTTTATTGGATTAACAGAAGAACCAATCAAACTTTTATTCATGTATTGTATGATACCTAAGATTTTCTCACCATATCCCAGTTATACCATGACAGTGATGTGATATCTCATTCACTAATTACTTGTATCCTGTTTCCTCAGCATATCCTATCACTAGCATCAATGTATCATTGATTTAAATGCAGCTAAATCTCTGGTTAAAAGCTATAGAATGAAGCAATTACTAAGGATTTCCGCTCTATTGATAATAGAAGTCATAGAAAAATAAAAGAAAAACTAAAGATCAAGAACAAAGAAAACATTTTTACCAAGAAATCCTTACAAAATAGAGAATGGAAGGACTAAGCAACAAAGGGGAAAATAGTAGGGAGAATAATCCCTTTAACTACGGTATGGTCCTTATGGACACAGATAATTTAAGGATTTTTGAAAATCAAAGCAATAGAAAGGCATAGTGTTAAAGATCTTACAGAGCAGAATTTCCTTGCAGGTAAATTCAAAGATGTTCCCAACAACTCTGTTTTTTTTTCTTTTTTTGAGTTTCAGACTTTTTATGTATCTAATCATATAAAGGAATATGCTGCCAGAAAGACATGATACAGTAAGGGTTTTGACCAATCAACCCCCCCCCCACACACACACACCGGTGAATTTTGATAGATCTCACACATGATTGGTTACCACTTTTATGATACCAGTTGATTGGTTACAAGTTTTTCCAGTATCATAGTTGGACCCTTGTACAGAGTGAAAGTTACCCTTGCACAGTAACTTATTGAGCAGGGTCTCACTACACGTCACACGATGTACATTTTGACAGTCTTAATGCGATACTTTACATTTACCTAAAAAAATCAAAATAGAGCATGCATAGATATACCAACCTTTAACAATTTATGGACAAAATCAACAGCATCACTTGGTCCAAATACCTGTACAGAGCAACAAATTCTAACATCATTAGAAGATTCATCACAGTAATTCCAGTTATTTCTAGTGCTTCTTCCTGGGTATCGTCAAAACTTTTGGGTTTGGGTAAGTATTTGGGGATTTCAATAGAGGGATGGAGGAGGAGACAATCAAATTCCTGGAGGGAGTTGAACAAAGAATTCTCCTGGAGAGAGGGAAGGTAGCAGCAAAGAAAGGGGGAAATAATTCCAAGAGAAGCAGAGAAATGATGAGGCTAACATGGGGTTTAAATGACAAGGCAGGCAGCAGTGGGGGGGGGGGCGGAGTTTGAGAAGTTAATTTGTACTTTGTGTCTGTGATTTGTAATGGAGATAAAAATTTTATCTTGGAATGTAAGGGGTTTGGGTTCGGATAGAAGACTTGTACTGTGTGAGTCCCTGAAGAAGTCGAGGTCAAAGATTATTCTGTTGCAAGAAACCAAACTGGACAGTGTGGAAGCTGCAGTAGTTAGAAGCATCTGGGGGGAGGATGAGGTCAAATGGAAGACTAAATTGGCAGTAGGGAGTGCAAGGGGGCTGTTGAGTATGTGGGATCCTTCTGTTTGTAGCTTGATCTCCTCTCACATTGGAAACTTTTCGGTTTCCCTAGTTCTTAAATTTGCATATGGAAATATTTGTCAAGTCACAAATGTATATGGTCCTACTGATCGAAATCTTTGGGAGGAGTTCTGGGAGGAACTGGCTGAGGTGAGGAGAAATCTGCCTTATCCTTAGGTTATTGGTGGTGATTTTAATGTCACTTTGTCTGCTGAAGAGAAAAATTCCAGAGGGAGAAGATCTAGGGCAATGGCTCAGTTTGCTGATTTCATCAACAGGTTTGAATTGATAGATTTACCTCTCCATGGTAGTCAGTTTACTTGGACCAATAATCAAGATATCCCCACCCTTGTGAGACTGGATAGGTTTTTGGTTACCTCTAATTGGGAAGAGCTCTTCTCTGACTTTAAGCAGATTGCCCTTCCTAGGCCAGTTTCATATCATATTCCAATTCAGTTAGTCTGTGGTTCCAGAGATAGAGCCAGAGACCCATTTAAATTTGAGAATGCCTGGTTTGAAGATGTTAACCTTATCCCCTTGTTGAAGACAGTGTGGAAAGATTTGCAGGTAATGGGAACCAACTCATTCATTCTGGCAAAAAAACTTGGTGCCATTAAAGCAAGATTAAAAATCTGGAAATTGGAGAAAAGCATGAATTTAGAAACGGAAAAGAAAGCTCTTTTGAGTACCGTAAAGGAGATTGATTCAGTAGAAGAATTGGGTCCTCTATCAGAGGAGTGCAAATTGAAAAGATCTCAGGCGAAGTTGAAGTATGATAAATTGGCCGTGACTGAGGAAATCAAATGGAGACAAAGAGCTTTTGGCTAAAAGAGGGGGATAAAAACACACATTTCTTCCATAAAATGGCAAATGCAAGAGCCATAGCTTCTGTAATCAGTAGGTTGGAAGGGGAGGGAAGGGTGGGGGAATCTGAGACAGAAATGAAGACAGTGGCAACCAGTTTTTATAAAAATCTTTATAAAGAATCATGGATCTTCAGACCATTTCCTAGGTCCCTTCCCTTCAAACAGTTGAGTGAAGTTCAGTCCACCTTCATTGAAAGACCCTTCACGGAGGAGGAAACAAAAGCAGCAATTAAGATGTTGGTTGATGATAAATCTCTGGGGCCAGATGGTCTTACCAATCTTTTCTACAGTAAATGCTGGGATTTTGTGAAACAAGATATTCTGAATGTTTTCCAAGGCTTTTATGAGAGAGATTCATTGCAAAGGAGTTTAAACACTACTTTTATTACCCTTTCCAAAGATTGAAGGTGCAGTGAACATTAAAGATTTCAGGTCGATCAGTCTCCTGCATAGCTTCTATAAAATTTTAGCCAAAGTCCATGCCGAGAGAATGAAAGGGGTTTTAGGTAGTGTTATCTCAAACAATCAAAGTGCCTTTGTTCCGGGAAGACAGATGCTTGATTTAGTTCTTATTTCTAATGAGTTGACTCATTCAAGAAGAAGAGAGGGTACCCCAGGGTTGATTTGTAAACTTGATATTGAAAAGGCTTATGATCATGTCAACTGGAGATGTTATAATCTTGTGTTGCAGCACATGAATTTTGGGCAGAAATGGAAGAACTGGATTAAAGTATGTATCACCTCTCCCAAATTTTCTGTTTTGATTAATGGGCAGTCTGCAGGCTTCTTTGATAGTTCTAGGGGTCTTAGACAGGGTGATCCCTTGTCTCCATTACTCTTTATCTGTGTAATGGAGATTCTCACTCTATTTTGTAAGAAGGCTGCTGAATTTGGTGAATGGGAAGGTTTTGCAATTGCTCCGGAGGGGGAGAAGGTTAACATTCTCCAATTTGCAAATGATACATTATGTTTTGTGGATGCTTCTCCCTCTCAGGTGGACCTAGTTCTTGGGATCTTAACATGGTTTAAGGTGGTCTTTGGTCTTAAAGTCAATTGGAATAAAAGTCAAATCATTCCAGTGGGTCAGGTTTCCAACTTAGTTGATTGTGCAGAGATTTTGGCTTGTCAGATTGATTCCCTTCCAGTTAAATATTTGGATCTTCCTCTGGGGGTGAGTTGTGGGTTGTCTTCAAGTTGGGACCCGGTTATTGAAAGAATGGAGAGAAAATTGGCATCTTGGAAGGCAAAATATCTTTCTTTTAGGGGTAGGGTGACTTTGATTAAGAGCACATTATCCAATTTACCTACCTATTTTCTCTCCCTTTTCCCTATCCCAAATAAAGTTGCAAGAAGGCTTGAAAAACTTCAAAGGAATTTTCTCTGGAGGGGTTGGGAAGAGGAGAAAAAAAATTCATCTTGTTAGTTGGGATCAAGTCTGTCTCCCTAAGGATGAAGGTGGTTTAGGCATAAGGAAGTTGAAAACTTTTAATTCTGCCCTTCTTTGTAAGTAGGAATGGCAACGGGGCATCCATTCCCCATCGAGGACGGGGAATCCCTGAATTTTCCCCGCTCCAAGGCAATTACTTAAAAAATATCTATTTTATGGACAATTTATAATAGGATATAGGAATTTGGGGGTATTTTAGAATTGAATTATAATACTTCAGGGATAATTCAAAAATAAAATTATGGGATCCTAGGATTTTAAAAATTTAGGGAAAACTTAGAGATATTTTAAATATCAAAATTAAACCTAGACATATTATACTAATTTACCTTCAGGTTCGGGGCAAGTTTGGGGAATTATATACAAAACCCGCCCCTGCCCCGTACCCGGTTCGAGGAAAATTTATTTTCCCCGTCCTCACCCTGTCGTTGTTTAGGGTCGGGGAAAACCCGCCCCATTCGGGGCGGGGTGGGGTGGGGCCCCAGTTTTATAGGGGAAATTGCCATCCCTATTTGTAAATGGATTTGGAGGTTTGCGGCTGAAAATGATGCTTGGTGGAGATCTCTCATTGCCGGTAAATATGGGGTGGAGTGGAGCAACTGGAGAACTAGGGATCCTCCTCCCAGTTGGGGAAACTCTCTATGGAAAGGGATAATGAAGAACTTCTCTGTTCTTGCTGATGGGATCTCAATTAAGGTCGGCAATGGTAGTAGAACCAAGTTTTGGAAGGATCCTTGGTGCTTGGATGGGTCTCTTGTTGAGTCTTTTCCTCTCCTTTTTCAGTGTGCATCTAACCAAGAGGCTTCTGTTGCTGAGTGTTGCAGCTTGTCTGGAGATTCAATTATTTGGTCCCCTACCTTTAGAAGGAATCTTTTTGACTGGGAGCTTGAAGAGATAACGAATATGTTGACTATTCTTCAGAATCAAAAGGTCGATTTCTACTCAGAAGATAAGTGGTACTGGAAGTGGAATCCAGATGGTGTTTTCTCTGTCAATTCTTTGGCTTCCAAACTTTGTAGAAAGGGTGCTACTGATTTCCCATGTTCTCAGGTGTGGAATCCTATTAGCCCATCTAAATCCAACTTTCTGATCTGGATTATGGCTCTGAACAAATGTCTGTCTAGAGCTAACCTTGTGAGAAGGGGCATTTAAATTTTGGACCTTTCGTGCAGCCTGTGTGGGAATAATTATGAATCTACTGACGATATGTGCACACACTGCCCGTTCTCTTCTCAGTTGTGGAACCACTTTTCAGCTCCATGAACTTAAGATGGACTATGCCAAGATCGGTAAAAGAGCTTCTGTGTTGCTGGAACATCAAAGGTCTTAACAAGAAAAGGAAGTTAGTGTGGAAGACTATTCCTAGTGCTTCCTTATGGTCCATTTGGTCTGAGAGGAACAGTAGGCTTTTCTGTAATAAGGCCTTAAGTCCAGAAGATTTAATTCAGAAAGCTGTGGGCAAGTTAATCTCTTGGGTGTCAGTTTCTGAGGAGTTTAGAAATTGTAATTTGTCTGTTGTTTTCCATTCTAGTTCTTGGTGGAGTATGTAATTGCTGTGTTGATCAGTCTGCTTTTCTGGGTCTGATCACAGCTTGTATGTGCTGTTTTTGAATAAATATTACGTTACCTTTTTCCAAAAAAAAAATTAAGTAATCACATGTTTGAATATGGCTTAACAAATTTGGCAGAAAGCATACCCCCCACAGACCATCGCATCCAAGAATAATGAAGTGTTCTCTTTCTGTAATATCAAATGAGTGAATATCTGGAGTTGCAATAACACCCACCTGCAATGCAGATCACTCTCTTGTATATAACAATATCCAATATAACACAGGAAGCAGATTCAGAAACTTAGATGCAAAACTGGCGTCAATCATGCTAATATCCTATAGTATAAATAAAAAAAATGAATGAAAATCTGTGATTGCAAAAAGCACATGCCTGCAACACAGATCCTTCCCTCATATAACAGTATTTAATATGTTGTAATAAGTGGATGCAAGTGATGTCAATCGTGCCAATAGTATTAAAAATTTAAAACCAAAAGCATGAAAACTTGTGGTTGCAATAGCACCCATATCTCTAGTACAGATACTTCCCTTGTATAACAATATTCAATATGTTGTAATATGTAGATTCAGAAACTTATGTACAACAAAGATGGCAGTCATGCCATCTTATAAAGATACACATGCCAGTTGACAAATGAAGAGAAACATGAATCAAAATTTCATTACAGGTTCATTTGTGTATCTACTGACACATGAGGGAACCCTGCACCAGCTGTTTTTAACTACAAAATACAAATATAACAGGAGGTACAATGTGATACTCAGAAAAATTTAGGGTTGTGGTGTTTTCTATTTATTACTCATGAGTGTAAACATATTATACTAATGTATTATATAGTTATAGTATGCAATTACAAAACCCAAGGATCACTAGAAAATGGAATCTGAGGCTATTCATGACCTCAATTAGGTATACTGTATGAAATACATGAAAAAAATTATACCCTCAACCAGGGGAAAAAAATATAGGCAAATAAAGTTAACTTCTCAAGACACTTCATGTGAGACTGCCAGCTAGAGAATTGGCTGATCTGGTTCACTCTGGATGCCAAAGACCAGCATATCTAATCTGGTAACATTGTCTCTATGGTAAGCTCGACTCTATAGTCTATATCCCTCATCCAATCCAACCCACCATGATCTGTGAGTCACTGAGTCTCCCTCAATTACCATCCTCTGATAACCTCTATGGATACTGATAGTCTGAGACTGTCTATCCAATGCTAAGAGTTTGCCCTTTGCTAAATACTATGTAATGACTAACCAGAATGTGCTAGAGCAACCACACTGTCTATCCATGATAACAGTTTGGCTTTTGCTAAATACCCTGTACTGACTAGACATTAATGTGCCAGAATAACCCAAATAGCTGTTCTAAGAACTCCAATCCCTGAATTTGATGATCCTAGATTGCTGACGGAACATCAACCAAAGTTTAGCTTCACTTTATCTCTCATTAGAAAGGGTCCAAATAGACACTATCTGTATGCGGGGTGAAGATCTAATCACTGTGGTTAATTCTCTCATTGTTGTGCTAACCATATCCCTCTAAATAGCTCAAGTGTCTACACCCAATTGACTACCCCATTGGATATCTAACCAATTACTGCATGGATATATGAAATACCCCCCCCCCCTCCTTTCTCCTATATTACTAGTTGACCTCATGCAGGATAAATCTCCACATAACCTTACCATTGGCACTAAAAGTTTTTAGCCCCTTAGGAATTGCTACATATCCTGTTACCCAGGGAATCGAGTAACAGACAGGGTACCAAAGTGGTTTCAGATTTGAGACAAAATATAAGAATGGGTGAAAAGATGATTCACTGTCTCCCTCTGCCAGGCATAGACAAGCATGGTGAGAGGGAAGCCATGTCTCACTCTTCATTTTGTAACATCTCACAGATATATTTTCTTATGAGCCACCTCCCAGCAAAATATTCAAAACTTAGAGTATATAAGAACCTTCTACAATTACAATTCATTATGAGGAACAAAAGTAGAGGAATGACCCAACCAAACCTAAAGAAGTGCGACAGTGAAAATGGGCATTGAATTTATTTCCCCTCTTCAATTAAGCTTTACAAAAAAAAAAGGCTTCAAGTCGTTTATTTTCAAATAAACAGTAGAGATTTTTTTTCCTCCTATGTGTCATAACATGACTTTTTATCCAAAACTAACCAGATTTAGAAATGGTATTGCATGAAAAAAAATGTGGCCATCAAGATAGGAAAGAACACAAAACCTTCTTGAACTGGCGATCTCCAAAAGCCCTAGAAACTTCAAGGCGCCCCTGCAGTCGTCCATTGCTGACAGAACCACCTGCCTATAAAAGCAAATAGCACAGAAACAGCCTTTAACAGATAAGCCAAATCATAGTGATTCAAACAAGAGAAAAAGAGCTTAAACAACAACCTTATCTAAACCAAAACGACATAAGCATGTTGAAACGGAAAAAGTAATGTTTATACAGAATGCACCTTTCCACCCAATCATCCATCTGTGAATGATTGACAGAGAGAAAGGACGGAAAATTCACCCTTCTTTCTTGCAGTGAAAGTTGGATGAAAAATTAATTTTCTTGGTGAAGTAATAAGAATGTTGGTTTATGAAGAATCCTCAGTCAAGAGTTTAATATTTCCAGATGTATAAGAGATAGAAGGAAAACCTTGGAAGAAAAAGAAGCAAAATGGCAGTGAAGACAGACAGCTGTTGTGCCACTAGATCACAAAGTACGCTTAGACCAGAAGTCTCAAATGATTCTGAATTCTAGCTGTGTATGGAAGTAACTCTTAGCATAAGCTGGACCAAGAACTTTCTTTTTAATCATGTTGGCATAGATTAGTTATTGAATCTAAACATTATCCATTCCATTTAACATTGGAAGGTCCTTGTTAAGTGTCGGAGCACTTCTCCTAAGAACAATGTAAATGACTTTACTACCAACCAATTCAAAGAAAAAAATTCCATGAAAAAGTTTGATAGTTGAAAATATAAACGAAAATGAAAACAAAAAAAATATGACTATTTTAACCTTCTGAATGCGAGCACGTTCCTGTGGATAAATAGCTTTGTGTTCTCTTGTCAAAACAATAGCCTTCAATGGACTTGCTCCGTCTGAATGGTTTTGTAATGTATCAGCAGTAAGTGATCTTGCTACCACTGCTTTTGCATCTCCAATATTAGCAATAAAAACCTGGTAACCATGGATCTGTAGGTTAGAGTTCATAACAAATAGGGCAAAAGCAATACAAGGTACAAATCGGATAAGAAAAATTGGCACTATGTACTAACAAATATTTGTATGTTTTGTCACATAAATACTTTTGGATGTTCTCCGGCTCTTTTTCCCATTTTCGGGATGAGTTTGGTAAGCAGTGTTCTCAAAAATCTAGGTATTAGAGTACTCTAGAATACCTAGGCAAGAAGCTGGGCAACTAGGTAATTACCTTTTCACTTGGGTAAATATATAGAAAATGGCTTGCAAATTATATCCAATATATTATAAACTGAAGGGGCCATTGCTTGGTGCAATGGTAAAATATTAAACCGCAGGTTCAATCAGGGCAAAGAGTAAGGGTGTGGTGGTTTATGCAGCCCTAAAACAATGTGCACATAATCCTTTCTTCTCAATTAATAGAGTTTCAGTTAATAATCAAAAATATGGAGGTTCGGGTCTGAGAGAAGCCACCTTATGCAAGAAAATGCAGAACATTAGGTTTGTATTCAGTTCACCTCTTCCAAGACTATAACTATGACCAAAATTAGGCAATAGCCCTTATATATTATAAGCTAAAATAACTATACATGCAGTTATATTCTCAAAAAAACATACATACATACATACATACATACATGACAAATTGGAAATAATTAACCATACATATCCTCGATATCATTGGCCTAACCATAGTGGAGCACATACATGACAAATTGGAAATACTTGTTTAAATGTATTACTGTAATACTGACAACAAAGAAATGTGGCAAAGACCAATTACAAAATGGTACCTCAAAAGCTGGTTGAAGCATGAGTATAAAAATCTCTACAAGAAAAATGATATAGAAAAACGAAGAATCACAGTAATGTCTAGAGGTGGTGTAACAACTAACAACTCCCTACTAAGAAATTTTTAGCTGAATGATATGTTTCATAATGGTGCCAAACTTGTTGCTACATTGATGTATTTCACAGCATATCCATTTTTTTATAAAAAAAAACAAAAAAGAAAATTTTATTAAGAATACAAAAAGGAGTACATAAAGGAGGTGATAAGAAATCACCATGCCACAGCATATGATATCCACTTTATACGTTGGAACATTTGAGAGTACATACAAAAATATGGTGATGCTGACATGAAAAAAGAAACCCAGGGAAGAAATTGGTAACAGTTGCATAATTTTGTGTTCTTGACTTCTTGTACTTTTGGTCAACTATAGTTTTTTGGTGTAATTTTCTGATTTAAAATTGTCATAAGAGTGTCAAACATTAATTTACAGAATTAAAATAGGTTAAAAATATCATCAGTGATTTTCTTTTATTTTAGATAATAGTGAGATTAGAATCATCACTTTTCCTTATGCCTATAATAGATGGGTCATAGCATTCCTGTTTGTGTTATTTGATTTATAACTTTTTAGACGACAGGAATACTGTTGTCATTCATAACTTTTTCTGTTTTAGGGTGAGCCCTCATTTTCTTTATTGTATACTCAGACATAGTTTTTGCCTTTAAATACAAATGAATATTAACTTTTCTTCCATTTCTGGTTCATAACATAAATTGACAATAAAAGGAAACAAGGATAGGAAAAAGAAAGAAAACCCCATAACACAGCATATCACCTTCTATATACAACCAAGAAAAAAAGAAAAATAAAAACTTAACACCAATTTTACTAGTATGGTAAGGCCATACAAGTATATATAGTGCAAATAAGAATAGATGCAGACTTACTGTTTGTCCTAGAACCCAAACACACACAGCTGTAGCACCATCTTGCCACCCCCCTGAAAAGATTAACATGAAAAGGTAAAAGAAATGATTAATTAAAACCAATGATAAGTCCATTTTTTATCAGCAGCAATAAATTTACTTCACAAAGATGAATAGAAAAGTAGAAGCAGCACCATCAATGTTGCTGGATATGGCAAGGATGCAACTGGATACAGTATTAGATATGAAATCTATACTAAAAATTGAAGTATCCAACACAATATGGAACCCTTGTACAGATATCCAGGTATATAGATCACCATCCTCAAGAAGGGAGCCCATACAAAGTGACCCCAAAAGGCTACAATGTCATGTATAACTAATAATGCTAACTGAGGATACAATACCTCCATCCAGCTCACTCCTCCCAACCACTCCCCAACCAAGACTGTCAGCAATAGAGTTGGCAGACCAAGAATGTCAACAATGGAGTTGGCAGACCTTGGGATTCGTTTGAACAAGATGTTCCCTCTAAGAGCAAGGCTCTTGCCTCTTTAAGGCAACTCTCCAACCAATGAACAGTAAATTCCATCTAGAATCCACCAAATAACCACATAAGAGCCCCCCTCCACCCCTGCCCCCTCAAAGCCCAAAATAGAATTCCATCCAAACATCCTGGAGCAAAGCCAGAATCTCTCCTCCAATGGAATCAAAGTCACCAAATGGACCAGAGAAAACCAAGATGATCTCCCTGCACCATGGCCTCTGAAACCACCTCTTAACCCTTATGCCTAATGGTCCAAACCTTCAAGATTCCCCAACAAGAACACCCCAAAATTAATCTTGAAGGACCATCTGAGGGAGATGACAGCTGAAGCACAGCATGTAAACTACAAGTAAAAGAGCTCATGAAAAGCTACATATCACAGGATCCACAAAGATGCCCCAAAACTGATTTCTCATCAGTAATGAATTTACCACTTTGACAGTGGCAAGTTCAAATGCTTAATGATGAATGTCCAATAAAATAGAAATTAAACAACCAATAACCAAGTAATGGAAATCAGAGGTGTGGTGACTTCCATTTCTTTATTTTTCTGTGGACCTGTCACCTGCCTCTTCATACTTAAATGCTTACCCTCCACATCAAAAGAGAAATCAATAACTTATTGGACATCATTCTTAGTATCCAAAATAGCAGAAAGTACCATTCCCAAAATATTTCTAAATGAATTGAAATAAAAGTCCATATAACCAATCTTGATGATTCCAGTAACTGCTAAGCCCACATTACATGAATAGTACCTAAAATAACAAGAGGAACTTTTCTAAGGTTCAGTAGATCAAACAGATTCCCTTTAACAGTAATTACTATGACAAATAACTTCAGCCAATTGAGATCTTCATACAAGATTAAAGCATGGTTTCTCCAATGTTGTGTTAAAATGTTTATTATATATCTAGCTCACAAAAAGTAGAATGATACTTTGCTCACAAATGAAGTGTACAAGAACAGATATGTTTAGAGAAGATAATGTGCAATGTAAAAATTGACTAATTGGAATAAATGATCATTTAACAATCCAAAAAGTAACTACCTTGGAAAAAAGTGATAGTAACAGTACCTGCAGAACTTTCTTGAAGAAGAGACTCATCAGTTCTCCGAAAACCTAAAGTTTAAGTGGATCAACAAACAATAAACACCAAGACACAGAAGAAAATACTTTAATATAAAAGAATGAAGCCAAGGGTTCCGTCTGCTGATAGGTAAAAAGAAGGTTCTAGCAGATGGCCTATCAGATGCATTAGCTAAGAGTGGGGTTAATGGGACTAAACTATTCTGGGGACAGTTGTAAATCAAGTGACAAATGCAAGAATCAGGTAGCTATGGTGACCTGGACATAAGGCTGCTTGGCAGTTTGTAAATACATTTTCTATTTTGGTTAAAGGTAAGGTATTACAAATATTCTTTTCCCAGAAAAAAAATAAAATTCTAGTTACTCATCAAAATAAAGAAAAAAAAAGGAAGAGGGTTTAATTCAAAAACAAACTGCTTGGCAATTTGTAAATACAAATATTCTTTTGCCACAAAACATAAAATTTCAGTTACTCATCAAAATAAAATAAAAAAAAAAAGAAGAGGGTTCTAATTCAAAAGTTGCAATGTCATACAAATAAACCCAACATGTAAACTATCAAGCTCTACATAAGGCAAACGAATCAAATTAATAAGATCTTGCTAATATGAATCAATGGTACTTGTAGAGATGAACAACAAAGTAAAGAACTAAAGATAAGCTCTTCCAATCCCTAAGATAAAGAACTCAGCATTTGGCCATCTCAAGGTTCATAAGTGCGTTCATACATAAAAGACAGTTGATATAACATTTAGCAGAAACTCTAAATTCCATCACAATATAGTACACCTCCATGTGCTGCAAGCCAGTAAAATATCAAAATTCCCCCTCCCAATTAAAAAATATTACTATTTTTTTAGGTTTTTTACCATCAGAAAAAGATATGATGAGTGTCTTGTCATCAAAAATAAAAATAATAATAAAAAAAGACAATGTCTACAATTAGTCACCAAAACACATTTAGGAGCTTTTGTTCATTTCAAAGAATTTATTCCAAGTTGGAAATGTTGCTGCAATACTTCCTTATGTGAAGTTGTGAACTACAACTAGCAAGGTTGGCAGGTTACATGAAACCTGTTGACCCATTGGTGATCCAGGAGAGCATAATGACATCACCAATTGGGCACCTAGGAAGAGATTATGAGAAATCCTACTTGTTTTATAGCTCCAGTAGCTCAGGCAAGTGTGAAACAAAACATGTTACAGGTCAATCACCTTACCCTGGTAGAGCACCCAGACAAGAACTTGACAATACTGATTTGGATTTTTTTTGGAAAAAAAAAAAACACTGATTTGGAAAATACTTCAAATGCATGAGTAACATCTAGAACATTTAAAGAACAATAAAAATAATCATCCAAAAGCATGGCTTAGCCATTTAATGAAGAGACATCTAACCCATAATGGAACAGATTAGGATCACTATCAAGGATTGCAACATCCATGTAGTGATTATGTTCTTGAAATTCTAGTTTGATATTATACTAACAATGGTACTAATAATCCTGTTTCAATTATCTTTCCGGCATGCCAATAACTTGACAGGAAACCTTTGATAATGAGCCATTAGTGAAGAACAATTGTCTCACTATGGCAGGTTCACTGTCAAATCTTTTTCCGGCTTTCCATCCTAAAGTATTTCCCTCTGAGATGGTTTGAAGACCACCTTCCAATTCACAAGTAGGATATCCTTTTTTTTCTTTGGACAACATCCATCTATAAAATTCTAATAACAGAGCATCTTGTCATTTCGTCCATAGGGGCACATGCCCTAGACAAATATGCATTTCTTTGTTAAGAAAATGAGGAAGCAGTGGACCATCTTTTCATACCTTTCGTTTTCATTAGGGAAATGTGATCAGCATTTCTATTTCCCTTTCAGGCTTTGCAGGGTTCTTTTATTATTAAAAAAAAAAAAAGCTTTTTTTATCAAGGACATTGAAGGATGTTTCTCATCTCTCTATCAAGAACTTTGAAGGATGTTCCTCAGCAGGTAAGGTCATATACAAGCTGGTCAAAATATTTAAAAAAAAAAAAAGGTCCTACTTTGAAGGATTTCTTATGGGAGCTGGGGAAAGGAAGAAAGGATCATTTGGTGAGGTGGGATGTAGTTTGTCGAAGTAAGGAACAAGGGGGGTTGGGATTAGGCATCTTAGGAAATGTAGAACTGTTGGGTAAATGGTTGTGGAGATGGCCTTTAGAGAGGGAGAGATTTTGGCATAAGGTAGTAGAAAGTATTCATGGGTGCGCAAGTAATGGTTGGGATGCTGGTGTTTCTCGATGAGCCACATTGAACCCTTCGTGGAAGGCTATCAGTGGGGTTCTTCCCAACTTCTTGAGCCTCATCAGGTATGATGTGTGTACCCGGGCATTGCTGGAATTGATGGGGTTATTAGAGATGACACAGGGAGTGTAGTGGGGCTCTTTTCCAGCCCTATAGGGTGGGAGGACTCCATTACAGCTGAACTAAAAGCAATGGTTTTCAGAATACAAAAAGCCAGGGAAATAGGAGTGAGAAAGTTGGTTGCTGAAGGCGACTCCAAAGTGATTATAAGCTGGCTAAAACATGATGGAAAGACTCCATGGATATTCAGAAATGAGATGAAGAAAATTAAGCACATCACAAAAGACATCCAGTTAATAGTTCAGTGGACTCCAAGAGTAGCAAATGGGCTTGCGGATCAGCTAGCAAAGCAAGGGGCTACAGGGAACAATGTTTCTGGGCTCTTTTGTAAGATTGTAAGGCAAATATTGGGTGGAATGTTATTGGACATTTGGGGTAGCCGAGGCTACCCAATCTCTGTACTAATTCTCATATCTTTTCATTAATAAATTTACTTTTACTGATCAAAAAAAAAAAAGAGTTAGGGTTATTCTAGGAGGACATCTGGGTCGGCAATTTCACTCTCAAGGACCTTTTTCCCTCCCTATATTCCTGATCCCTCTTTAAATCTGAACCCATTCAGAGGTTTGTATCTTTCTCCCATTCTTCTAGTATCAATTGGAACTTGGGCTTTAGTGGAGACCTTAGGTTGCTTTGCTTCTCAAAACCCTTGAAGTTGTTTGTATGGATCATTCTACCTGACACTCATATTAACCCCTCCACTCGGTTTTCCTGTGCTTCTTTTTTCTCCTACATTTGCTCTATCCCTAAGACCCTAACAAGGTTCAAAGTATCAATACGTATCGGCCAATACGTATCGTGCCAATGGCTTCCCAATACGCCCCTCCAGGGGTTGTATCAGGTCAGACGCTGGTTCAGAGGATAGTCGGGCCTTAAACCGACCCCTCTGAACCGGTTTCGAAAAAAATAAATAAAACCTTAGAAAAAGTACCGATACGCCCTACCGGCGTATCAGCCTGTGTCGATACTTTGAACCTTGATCCCTAACCCTCAGCCCTTTTTTGCAAGGAAATCTAGCCCAAACCCATTACCCCTAAAGCGGGAGCCCTGTGTTGAGAAGTCTCTCTTGGGAAGTTAAACACCTTGGATAACCTACAAAAGAAAAGACCTAACCTTAGCATTTCACCAAACTGGTGTTTCTTTGCAAAGATAATGGAAAAAGTTGTTACCCTCTACTAATCCCCTGCCCTTTTGTTGTAGGATTTTAGGAAAGATCTTTGATCATTTTGGTTGCAGGTGGACAAAGCCTCTGCAGATTGCTGGGCTATTCAACCCATCTACCTTCAGGTGGCCTAAGAGAAGGGGGAGAGTATTGTGGAGATGTGCTAGGGCTGCTCTGGTTTGGACAGTTTGGGAGGAAAGAAATGATAGGATTTTTAATGACTTAGAGAGGGAAGTGGATAATGTTTGGGACTGCATTATGAACAGGGCCATCAACTGGGTTAAAGCTTCGAATCTGCACTCACATTTCTCCTTTGATAACCTTTGGAGAAACTGGGGATGGGTTGCTAATTCTTCCTCAGTTAAGAACAAGCCTATGGCAGACTAGAAGCCCCCTGAAGAAGGCTTCATCAAGCTGAACTTTGATGGCAGTTGCTTTGGTAATCTGGGAACCTCTGGAGTGGGAGGAGTTTTTAGGAATGCAAAGGGTCAGCTTGTTGCATTATTTTCTGGCCCAATTGGAGTGGGAGGAGTTTGGGAATCTGCTGATAGAAGGTGACTCTAAACTGGTAACTGGGTGGCTGAAGGAGTCAGAGATTGTAGCCTGGTTCTTTGGGGGAGGGGGGGTGAGAAGATTCGAGTGGTTAACCTCCAACGTAACAGTGAGAGTTCAGCGGGAGAGGAGATCAGCTAATGGGCTGGCAGATTCTCTAGCTAAGCACGGGTTGTTTAGGGACAATTTATTTGGGGCTCAATTGTAATTTTGTTTTATTTTTGAAGGTGCAGCTCATGCCACTTGGAATTTCCATGCTGTATCCGCTGATAGTTCCTTCTTAATCTTAATGAAATTCCACTTATCACTTATCAAAAAAAAAGACCCAAACCAATTATACAGTTAATAATATATACAGGAAGTATGTACAAAATCTTGGCCAAGATTCTAGCCACTCGGTTAAGAAAGTGATAGATTCCTTGATATCCAAATACCAAGGAGCTTTTGTTCACAACAAACATATTCATGATGTGGTTCTCTAGCAAATGAGTTAGTTGATTCAAGAAAGAGAAATGGATGAAATGGTTTGGTCTGTAAAATAGATTTAGAGAATGCTTACGACCATGTTAATTGGTCTTTTTTGGATTGTTTGATGGATAGAATGCACTCTGGTTCAAAATAGAGAAACTGGATAGAAGTTTGCATCTCCACTCCAAGATTCTCGGTCCTTGTTAATGGAGTAGCTAGAGGCAATTTCAAAAGTTTGAGAGGTTTAAGACAAGGGGATCCCTTATCCCCTCTCCTATTTTTAATAGTAATAGAAGGCCTCAGCAAATTGGTGGATAAGGTGGTGTGGAGTTGGAGCTGTTGGGAGGGTTTTGAAGTGAGCCAAAATGGTACTTTCATTCCTGTTTTTCAGTATGCTGATGACACTATTTTTTTGCAAGGTTTCGGAGGAACAGTGTTTAATCTAAA